CATATGTGGGGCTTGCCGATGGGGGCGTGGGGATGATTGTTATTCTTCTCTTCGCCAACAACCAGACTCATTAACAATACGACAACCACCGAGAATCTGAAAAACGAATTCCGAATTGAAATCGAATAATTACTCAAAATATCATCGAAATTCGTTCTCACATTCTACGTCAAGGTTCAAAGATAATTGAAGAGTTTTCTGAGTTAGGGATAATCGATAAAAACAAACATTTTTATCGAACAGTTGATCTAACGTAGATCGGATATGAAAGGCATCCATTTTGAAATTGATCACTAGAGAAACTCTACTAAAGCCTATCGACAGACTTCTAGAAACTGTTGTTTATTGATCGATTAACTATCTCGATGATTCATTATCTACTATCAGCTGTATTTACAGCTGTTTGACCTATGAGAACAGTAAGTGGCGCCTAACTTTGTTTTAGTTTTTCACTTTTAATTATCTTAAAACGAGAAGGAAATAACTAGTTTCATATTTGTCATTTTTCGAAGTCGATTATAAAGAAATGCAACATGTTCAGAATAATATCGATACAAAATATACGAGTTCTATCTCGTTACTTTGACTTCACATTTAAAGGAGTGTTTTGTGAGCTTCAATTCTCAAGATCCATCGCATCACAAAATGACAAGTTTGATGCGTACCTATAGTATTTTCGTATGGTGAATGGCTGTATATAGTGCAAATGGCGAATAGTTGTAACCATGATTTAGGATACCTGTATTGCAGAGAAATCTGCAAAAAAGCATATCTAAGTTAACAGCTCAATCCTCTAACTTAATATCAGTTAATCTCCGTGTGTGAAAAGTACGGTTTTATCAAAGAAAGGCCAATACAAAGTAGTTGAGTGATTTGTGAAATGAGTAATCATATATTTTATTTTATATAACTTTTATTTTAATTTCTTAGCTGATCAAAATCGCATATAAAAAATATATTCTGGCTTGAATACTACATGAAATACGAAGGAAAGTTCATATGAGAATATTATTTTTGGCTCAGTTTTTGTAGTTGCGTGGATTGAGAGCATCCAAAACTTGATTCAGATCACCTTTTTTTGCTCTAATGAGTTCTGTAAGAATGCCATTCGAATCAACAAACCCCATTGCAGTCATCCGTTCAATACATTCATCAATTTTCTTTTGTTCTTGAGCTTGTTGATCTGCAGTTGTGGCAGTTGTTGTTGCCGATGGTGTTGGTGGTTGAAACATTGGAGCAAACACTGTATGAAGTTGCTCAAGTAAATTACCAAATGCCGGAGCAGTAGCTGACGCTGATGAAGCTCCAGTAGTTGGAGCAGCAGATGAAGCTTCTGATGATGGAGGAGCAGATGGTTTTGGTTCAGTACTTGTATTAATACTTGCTGTTGCTTCTTCGGTTTTTTCCTTTGTTTCAGGTTGTTCAGTTGTTGTTGTTGTTTTTGTTTGTTGATTATTAACAAAATAATCACAATCAATGCCAAAAGGTGAAAGAATTTCACGAAGAAATTGACCAATATTTTCTAAAAGAGCATTTTGATCAACAGGTTTGTCAGTTTGTTCTCCAGTTTTAAATCGATTGATTATTTCTTTAACTTTTTCCGTACGTAAATATTCGGGTAAATGAGTTTCAACTAATTCAGCTAATTCTTTACCCTTAAATTGACCAAGAAAATTGGTCATATCTGCTGGCATTGGAAAACCAGCTGGACAACCTTGTTGCCGACGCATAAAATGATGCCAGAAACGAGCACCACCACCACATCGAACGCCATTAAATGGTCCACGACCACAACGACGATGTCCACCAAAATGTTGAAATGGACTGGTTAACTTTATCCTATTATGTCCAGAATGGAGATTTTTATCCGAACATGTTTGACATAAATCATAATCTGGACATTCCGTACATCTAAAAGAAAACATAAATAAAAATCAATGTGATGAGAAAAATGAAGTATATTATTCAAAACTTACTTATAACGATTACCAAATACAGGACATTGACAACCATCACAAGTTACACCAGAATGAACTGTTGCATTCGGACTTTCTGGTTTTTTAACTTTTGGTTTAACGTAAATTTTAATTACACCACCAAGTGGAATACTATTTAAAGCCGATCGTAATTCATCATCGGATGAAAATGTAATACGATCATCGTCTTCATCCGTGTATTGTAATGTAAATTGACCTTGAGGATAATTACTATTCAATTGAGAAATAGTTGTTTCCAATGCTCGATAAACACCATTGGTTGGTGATACATCAACCTATAAATAACTTATTGAGATTTAAATTTACAATAGTTTAAAGAGCTTACAGAAAATCGTCGGATTTCTGGTTGACTTTCAACGAGATCATTGTAGTAAGCTTTGATGATAACGTGTTGTTGTTGTGTAGACATGTTGTTTGCTTTGCTTGAATTTAAGTGAATACAC